ATAACCCCAGGCCAATGAAGGCCAAACTCTCAAGAGCCCATGTTTAGAAAGATACAGTAAGGTCATAACGGAGGGACAGCAGCTCTCCACCCTGGTCCTTCAGGTCATAGATAAGCTTAGAGTCTTCTCCATACTTTCCAGTTAGGGTTTCCTGGAGGGGAAAAAAAAAAATGTAGTCACAATCATCACTAAAACTATTTATTTAAAAAATTTTTTTTTGCTGGGCGTGGTGGTGCACTCTTGTAATCCCAGCGCTCAGGAGGCTGAGGCAGGAGGATCGCTGTGAGTTCGAGACCAGCCTGGGCTACATAGTGAGTTCCAGGTCAGTCTCAATTACATAGTGAGACCCTGTCTCAAAAAAAAAAATTAATAAATAAAATAAAAAAAATTTTTTTTTTGAGACAGGGTTTTGCTACGTAATTTAGGCCAACCTTGAACTCACTGTGTAGCCCAGACTAGCCTGGCTCTTGCAGCAAGCCTCCTGCCTCAGCCTCCCCAGTGCTGGGATTACAGGTGTATACCACCACGCTTGATAATAAAACAATTTAAAAGGTTTTGAAAACAAAAACCTATCACTGAAGCATGATTAATTTTAAGTGTTCTACATTTTTGCTGAGATTGGAAATTAAAATCTACAGTCTCTAATTTAATCTGAACCAATGCCATGGAAAGACTCAGGGGAAAAGGGAGTTTAGGAAAATATAAGAGCAAGAACCAAGAGCCTGCTGGGCATAGTAGTGCACGCCTGTAAACCCAAAACTTTGGAAAGCTAAGCCAGGAGGATGATAAGTCTAAGGTCAGCCCGGGAAACTTAGCAGACAGAGAGAGAGAGAAGCGGGGGTTGGGGGGGTGGTTTACAGCCAGGTAAGGTGGTACACCACTGTATTCTAGCATATGGGAGGCTGAAGCAAGCGGATCTCCATGAGTTTCCAGCCAGCCTGGTGCTACATAGTGAGTCCTAGGCCAGTCTGAACTACACTGCAAGACCCTGCCTTACCAGGTGGGCATGGTGGCATAGGCTTGCAATGCCAGCACTTGGGAAGCTGAGGTAGGAGGATTGCCATGAGTTTGAGGCCAGCCTGGACTACCTAGTTCAAGGTCAGCCTAAACTACATAGCAAGACCCACTTTCAAGCCAAAAAAACCCAAAAACCTTGTCTCAAAACAAAACAACTCAGAGAGAAAGAGAAAATTTAAATTGTTAAGTGTTTTGGGGTTTTAAAATAGGGAGTGATGCAATCTGATTTCTAATGGCAAAGAAATAGAAATTATCTTAGGGTCCATCAATAGGAGACTGGTTGCATATTTATACTTTACATACATATGGTTTGCATGTATAGAAAACATCCAAGTATAGATGCTATGGAATTCAGTATAAACAGGAGTCTTTTGAAAGCTGCTGGTCACAACCAAGATGAATAAAAAGCAATGCCTCTTTCTTCAAGCCAGTCCTCTCCCATTTTTTACTGAAGAAAATACTGGTCTGTGTCTACAGTATGAGTAGAGCCTTTGGACCCCCAGACTCCTGTTATCTTCTGTTACTCATAAGCCCACGCTTGCATCATGTGGTTTCTCTTTACATATCTCTCACCTTTAGTTCAAATACGGGTGTATCAATCACTTCTGCACCATGGCGTTTGAAGCAGTGGATGATTACATCAAAGACCTTCTCCCTAACTGCCATCTGCCAGGGATTGTAGTCTCTTGTTCCCTTGAAGTCAAAATCAGCCAAAGGACAAGGGATGAGATTTAAAAGACCAAAAGTTTTGGAACTATAAAACAATGATCTCAATAATAAGGAAAGCAAATCCTGCCCCAAATTTAGATTTTTCCTACTGTAAAATGAACACAAATAGTTCTCTATTAATTTGCTATTGGCCTTCTAAATTCCATTCCTCTGGATTGGAATAACGAATTCAATCTAGTTCAACAAGTTGAAGTGTGAACCTTACAAGCAGTTTTTTTTCCCAACATCATTTTCTTTTAAATTCTAATTAATACTACTATTTATTCTTTAATTTATTTTTGATAACAGCCCTAAGATATAGCCTAGGCAGATGCACTTTATACAAATTACAGGATGTTGAAGAGTCACTACCTAAGGCCACTCAGCAAGCCTGTAGCAGGAGAACTATGCTCTCCTTCCAGGTTGGTGCTTTTAGTCTGACTTTTAGAATCTACTCCAAAGTTTTTGGTCTTAGGGCCTTTTTATAGTCTTATAAGTAACTGTCAATATTTACGGTTAGAAAGTAAAACAAATATTTCTGTATTTATTAATATATCAATCACATGTTGATACAAATAATGTTTTAAGAAAGTATTTTTCTAAAACAAAAAAATATTTACTTAAAAGTGGCATTCATGACATCTTTGCCAATCTTTAATGTCTGACGTAATAAAAGACAGCTATATGTACTTCTGTATTTAATTCTGCTTGTACTATATTGTTCTGGTTGAAGTATATGAAGATCTAGCCTAACACAGATATGTCTCTGTAAAAGGAGGTTTACTTGTTTGTTTTTTGTGGCACTGGGGATTGAATCCAGAGCCATGCTAGATAAGCACCCAGCTCCATTACCCAGTTTCAATAACCAGTAACATCTATTATTTCATTCAAACTCTGATACTTTTTCTAAAGTATTTTAACATAAATCTCAGATATCCTAACATTTTCATCCTCAACTACTTCAGTATGATTCACTACTGAACGACTTTAAGAAAATCTAAAATACTATAGTATCTTTATCATAACCAACAAAACCAATAGCAACCCTTAATATTATCTCATACCAAGCCATGCTCAATTTTCCCCGACTGCCTCAATAACATCTTTTTATGGAGGCTTACTTGATTCAGATTGTAAACAAAGTCTGTGGATTGTATTTAATTAATATAGCTATTTAATCTACAACTATTTCATTTCTTTCTTTTTCTTCTTAGTGCTGGGAATCAAACCCAAGGCCACATACATGCAATGCATGTGCTCTACCACTGAGCTATACCCCTGGTGTTCCCTGTTTTTCTTTTTCATGTCATTTATTTGTTGAGGAAATTATTCTTTGTCCTAATTTTTTTTTGGTCATATTTTAGATCAGGTTAACAATATCCTCAATGTGTCTTTTAGATTTGGTTAGAAATATCCTGTTGTGTCATTTAATGCAGTCCTCTGTCTCTTGTAAACAGTCTGAAGGCCTGATTAGATTCCAGTTCAAATTCTCTTGGCAAGAATGCTTTATAGGTGGTGTTATGTATTTCTTATTGCACCACATCAACAGGAACATAATTTCTGGTTGCCTTACTTTTAAAGATGAGAATGGACTGATATATTATAAATTTTCTTTTAAGTTTTTACCTTATTCACTACTTTGAATACTGACTTCATCACTGCTTTGAGATTTTACACTGTCTCTCTTTAACCTCTGAAATAAAGTTGTTTATAGAAAAGAACAGTTCAATGAATTTAGGAGCCCAAAGAATTAACCTTTACACAAGGAAGACAGACCACCTTCCCTCTCCTTTAGAATTCAATTTCAAATACAATCATCAAATTCCTACTTATTTAAAGGCACTTGGATTCAGCCTCCCATGTAACTAAACCAGACAAGTAACTACAATAAATCAGTGCAATAAAAAAGATATGTATGAAATGTCAAGGGAACCTAGACAAAGAAGTAAATAGTTGTTTACAGAACTTACCAAAAGTGGCATTTAAAACGAAATTCTAGAGGACAAACTAAGAATTGCCAACTTCACTCCAGTTTACCTTCTATTTGGTTCTAGTTGAGTAGGTCATCTTCTAGTTCCTGGAAACTGCCAAATCTCTTTACAGTTTTCGGGTTTCCAAACTACTGGATTAATCTTCCTTACACTCTTTCCTTAGCTATCTCCTACCCATCTGTTAGGTCCATTAATAGGGGCCTTCCTCAGTGAGGCTTTCTCAGACTCTTCAGCTCTCCTTTATTTTTCTCAGAATATCCTTGTTAATTTCTTTCTAATCACAATTTGTAATTACATATTCATGTGTCAGAGTATTGGTCCTAAATCTTTCTCTTATAGGAGAACAGGGGCAAGCTATATTGTCCACCATGATATATTTGGTGCTTTATACCATGTTAGGGACACAGTAAGCACGCAATGAATATTTACTGAATGAAGTAACACTAGGAGGCCAACTTCCCTGAGCATCCAGCTGGCCTCCTTTCTGTCATCACTTTGCCATCCCAGAATGATTCAGAGTTTAAACCACCCTAGCGCCCTGAGCAACTATTGTTCCTCTGCAATATTTCAGGCCCTCCTCAATGACCTGGTTCAGGGAAGCCAATATACTGTCCTTGTTAATAGAATTAGAGCCTCTCTCTGAGGCCCCCATAGAAATGACGTTACCTTGGGGGTTTTGAGCACAAACTTCTGTTTGCTTTCATCAGGGCCCAGCTGTGCCTTCAGTTTCAGGAGTTTTGCCACTTCCTCCTCGATCTGTAGAGGGGAAAAAAGCTGCTGGACTACGCGTCACCCCCACTCCCACCCCCCACCCCGGCCATTCATTCGGTATTTCTCCTTCATCAGAAAATGAGGCGGTCTATCTGCCTCGGTTTGCCTTGCTTCTTTCGGGACCCACCGTAGTTACCTCACGACCCAGCCCATCCTTCTCCCTGCCAGCGCAATCCCTCCCTCCACATCCCTGTCCTCTGTACCGAGCACCTGGGTTCACGTCGTAGCCTGCTTTGCCAGGCACTTCTCCTACCGCCTGGGTCGTACCTGCTCGGCGTTGGCCTTCTGCTGCTTGAGGCCCCGTACGCGCTCTCCCTGAAGTCGCACCAGCTCCTCCAGCGAAGCACGATTTGCCATCCCCGCAATCAAGTGGAGATGACTGCTTTCTGGGACGGCCTTGGTGGACTCAGCGTCAGTCTGGATGACTTCCGGCTATCGAGTCGCGAGTTGCAGGACTAGAGAGTCTCCGAAGATTGCTAAAATCATTTCCGGGTCAGGGGTTTTGAGGAAACCTTAGTTTCGTTTTGTAGGACTAGTTTAGTGTCCCTTGGTACTTGGGCTGCGTGTTTCTAGCGCCATACACTATTCCTGGGCACGGTTCTGCCTCATTTCCAAGACTTGGGCTGTTATCTCTGAAAGCTGTGTCCCGCGGCACGATGCCACAGCTCGGACTCTTGCCCAGGAGGACCTGCGCTGCGCTGCTCAGCCAGCTCCTGCGCCGCGCTGCGTGCATCCGAGCGGTCGGTTGCCATAGCCAGGTGAGCTAGACTGATAGATTGGGTTTGTTGGGGAAGGTGAAGACATGGATAGTTATTACGGTTGGTTTTTATTGGGCGCCCGCTATATACTGGCACTGAACCAAGCATTTTGGATTCTTTGTTATTTAATACTTAGAGCAAGCTTGAGAAGTTGGGATTTTTTCATTTTACAGTTAAGAAAACGGAGGATGCAAGATTAAATGACTTACCTGCACCTATGTAGCAAGCGAGTATTTTAATAAGTTCCTCATTTCATTAACTCAAGTTCTTAAAATCACTATTTTCCTATTTCATAAGCAAAATACATGGATATTCTCACTGAATGAGCTAGCTAAAGAAAATAAGTTGATTGAGTTCGTATTACCTACCTTAAAGTGAATCTGAGAAAAATACTGTCAGTTTTAAAAGAAGTTTTGGTTTGAGAATTGAAGATGGGGTATTGTGGACTTGAACAGGACTTCTCTTTGGGGAGAAAATCACAGGAACAAGCATATTTCCAATTGCTGAAAAAGCCTGCCGGTAGTATTTAAGTAATGGTTTTGTTTTGCCTTTCTTCAGAAAGTCCCTAATGTCTTCTTAGCAGATTCTTTGTGCTGTCATAAACAACAGAGCTAAGATTTTTAAAATTAATTTTCAGTCACAGTTGGGCATGGTGGAGGATGCCTGTACTGTAGTCTCAGCACTTGCGAGGCAGAGGCAGGAGGATTGCTGCGAGTTCAAGGCTTGACTGGGCTACATAGTGAGTTTAAGACCAGCCTGAACTACATAGTAAGATCCTGTCTCCAAAAAGAAAAAGAAAGTTCAGTCACATCATTCTACAAGTGTTTAAGTTCATTCAGGAATTGCATTCCTTGCATTTGATAGGCTTGTTATGAGTTCTTGGGCTGCTTCTCTATTCAGATTACATTTACCTTATCTCTAAGCCTGACAAATAGTCCTATCTTACTAAGGATTCTTATTTTTTCTGTTTGAGTAAGAACTGAGAACTGGAAGCATTCATACTAACAGGTGCTCCCGTACCAGGAGTGGGGCAGTGGTGGTGGTAGTGGTATTTTAGGCCTTCATTGTTTTCATGTGCTTAAAACTTCTTCAGACATTTAAAAACTTCAAATATAGTGAAGTGTTAGAGACTTGACTTCATATACATTACATGTAAAATTTTACATGCAACATGGGTTCTTAAGGGAGGGGATCTGAGATCAGGATAGATAAAATGGTGCTCTGGCTTGCTCTTTCTCAGGGTCAAAGATCTTTTCAGACTGGTGGCCTGTAGAGTTAGAGATGTCATAGGTCTGGCTAGAGTCCAGAGAGCTACATTTTATATTCCTTCTTTTGCCAGGTTGCACAGGCAATGTTAACATCCCAACTGAAATCACATCAAGAGAAAACAAATTTTATCAAGACCCCAAAGGTAATGTCCTTTACCCATCTTACCCCATTAGAATACCATGGAGGACTGACCTCTGCTGGACTTACCTCTGTAACTTCTTATACCTTTTTGAGCTAAGTTTCAAACAAAAGCAAAAACAAAAACCTTTTCTATTCTTGACATACTAGGTGAAACTCAGAGTTATCTGAAGTAAAAAAATTCCAGTTCAAGCGTGGTAGTGCATACCTGTAATCTCAGTTACTTGGGAGGATGAGGCAGGAAGATCACAAGTTCAAGGCCAGCCTGGGCAATGTAGTAAAACTCTATCTCAAAAATAAAAAGGGATAGGGATGTAGCTTAGTGGTAGAGTATTTTCCTCGCATATGAAAGTTCCTATACTCTGCAAAAAAGGAAAAACAAAAACCACATTCAGTCCATACGTTACATTATAGGCCTAATTTAACTCTTTGTCTTAAGTGGACTTGTTTTTTGTTGTACTATGACTGTGTTTGATTTCCAGGGCACCAGAGATCTTAGTCCCAAGCAGATGGTTGTGAGGGAGAAAATTCTTGATACGGTTATCAGTTGCTTTAAACGTCATGGAGCAGAGGGATTGGATACCCCAGCATTTGAGCTAAGGGTAAGGGGAGAAGAGTGTCTGGAATCCCTTTTCGTCACTTGCCTTGAGGGTCCCAGAGGGCTTTTCTTCTGTGTTGTGTAGTTATCATTTGAATTGTGGCTCTTTCTGTTTGATCCCTGCAGGAATTTCTCACTGAGAAGTATGACAATGAGTCTGGGCTCATCTATGATCTGGAGGATCAAGGTGGAGAGCTGCTGTCCCTTCGTTATGACCTTACTGTATCTTTTGAGTGCTGGAGGCTGACTTGTTTTTTTCCAAATCCAGAGGACTTTCTCTGACAAAAGGGAGGAGCATGACTATGGGACACTATGGCTCCACTGACAGTAGCCTTTACTTCTAGTTTCTTCTAAAAGTCAATTCTGCCAGCAGAGCCTGGCCTGGAGACCTCTCATTTAACTTCAGTGTCTGTCAGAATCCCTTAAGGAAGTTCACTGAAACATATTCCTAGCTTCAGGGATTTTTAATTCTATAATAGGAGTAAGATTCAAAAACTTACATTTTTAAGTAGATATCCTGGGTAATTAAAATGCATTGGTCCTTGGCCTACAGTTTCAGAAACAAAGACTTGATATAGGAGGCAAATCCAGGCTCTGAAGCTTGACCACTGCATTTAGAGATAGTTGGGTATTAATCTGAATGGGAGGAGATGGCCAAGACCTGAATTTTTGGGGGGTCATTTCTATCTCTTCTCCTACTTTCTGCTCAGCTTTCAGTTTTCCTTGGTGAGATTCCTTCATTTGACACTACTAGATATGTTTTGAATACCAAGTACTGCCATATCTTGGGATAATGGGAAACAAAGCAGAGAAGGTCTTTGTTCTCATTCTGTTAAATAAGATCAAACAGATAGAGGTCCAGTCCCCTTTAACGTCTGTATGCTGGACCCAAGCATTGACTGCAATATTTTCCTTAACCTAGTTATGTGAGGTCCCTTTTGCTCGTTATCTGGCCATGAATAAACTGAAGAAGATGAAACGCTACCAAGTTGGAAAGGTGTGGCGAAGGGAGAGTCCAACTGTAGTCCAGGGCCGCTATCGGGAGTTCTACCAGTGTGTAAGTGACGTGATAGGGACAGCATAGTTTGACAGTTAACCTGGGAATTGGTTCATCAGTGGAGGTTTTTTTCCTGTCTTCTTTGTTGTAGGATTTTGATATTGCTGGTCAGTTTGACCCTATGATCCCTGATGCAGAATGTTTGAAGATCATGTATGAAATACTAAGTGAGTTGCAGCTGGGAGACTTTCTCATTAAGGTAAGACCAAGACTGAGAAGTCTGGATTCTACCTGGGTTTTTGTGTGTGTGTGTGTGTGTGTGTGTGTGTGTGTGTGTGTGTGTGTGCATTTGGATGATCCTCCTGTGAGAGTTCCTTTTTTCCCCTTTTACAAGTCAGAGAGTTAGGAACTGCCATTGTTTTCAGGGACAGGACCTTTACAAGAACCTTGGGTTACATTGAATTCACAGGTCAATGACCGGCAAATCGTGGATGGGATTTTTGCTGTCTGTGGTGTTCCTGAAAGCAAGTTCCATACTATCTGTTCCTCCGTGGACAAACTAGACAAGGTAAAAAAGACCCTATATAGGTTTCTGCACTGTCCTGAAATCCATACCAATAGAGAAAATAAAGAGAACTGGAAGTGAGCTGAATATGGTAGGAATATAAGGTGACATTCTGAGGCAAGATCTGAATTGTGCAATGGGGAGTGTGACTGGATTTCTTAAGTTGCCTCTGATTTTTCTAAGTATACTATTGGTTGCTTATGGTCATACTAAATGAAACTGAAATGTCTTTTTCCACCAGGAGAAAGACTTGAGATTGAGGTAATGTTTGGGTGTTTATGCAGATATCTTGGAAGGATGTGAGGTATGAAATGGTGGCAAAGAAAAGCCTGGCTCCTGAAGTGGCTGATCGAATTGGGGACTATGTCCAGCGTCATGGTAAGAACCAGGATTTTCAGGCCTGTGACAGAATCAGGCTGAAGGTGACCAGTGTTCAACTTTTACCTTTGAATCAGCTCCCTTCTGTAGATGTGTTAAGCTCCAGAACCTTGCTTGAATTTAATTTCCCTTTTACTTATTGTAACTACTTTGTGTCTTTAGAAAAAAAAAAGGTAGAGGAGGAGGGTGTGGTCATCTTTTTAAAGGAAAAAAATGAGGACTAGATAGAGCACTTAAAGATAAATTTGGTAAAGCACATCTTTGGTAAAGGCACAGGCCACCTTTTCCCCCACTTTTCTCTCCAGGTGGTATATCTCTGGTAGAGCAGATGCTCCAGGATCCCAGACTATCCCAGAACAAGCAGGCCCTAGAAGGCTTAGGGGCCCTGAAGCTTCTTTTTGAATACTTGACTTTATTTGGAATCACCGAGAAGGTAAGCTTGACTGGGGAGTAGACCCGGTGACTTGAGAGTTGAGCTCTAGGGCTGTCACAGTCTGGTCTGGCACTGATTATAACCTTGCCCCCCCAGATCTCCTTCGACCTGAGTCTTGTTCGAGGCCTGGAATACTATACAGGAGTGATCTATGAAGCAGTTTTGTTACAAACCCCAGCTCAGGCTGGAGAGGAGCCCTTGAATGTGGGTAGTGTGGCTGCTGGTGGGCGCTATGACGAACTGGTGGCCATGTTTGACCCTAAGGGCCACAAAGTGCCATGTGTGGGACTAAGCATTGGAGTAGAGCGAATCTTCCACATTGTGGAACAGAGGATGAAGGTAGGTCTTACATAGGTGTGAAATGGTGCTGGAGGCCTAAAAGCCCATTTTGGGAGGTGCAGCCACACTGTTTTTCTGATGGTTCTTTTATCTTGTTTTTGGAATTTCTGATGGAGGGGAAGTTTTCATTAGTTTTTCTTTCTTCTCTGTCTTTTATCAGATTTCGGGTGAGAAAGTTCGGGCCACAGAGACCCAGGTGTTTGTGGCCACACCTCAGAGGAATTTTCTCCGAGAACGGTTAAAGCTAATTGCAGAGCTTTGGGATGCTGGGATTAAGGTATGGTGGAGCTGATATCTGAGTCATCTAGGTATATGTAGAATTCAGGAACAAAAGTGGAACTCAAGGCCTTTTTAGTTTACTGAGAAAGCTAGCCACTTATTTCTGGTTTAAAAAAAATATATATGTTTTGGGGGTTGTGTGCTATGGTTGCTCTAAGTCCCCTACTCTATTTTAACCCTTTTCAGGCAGAGATGCTATATAAGAATAACCCCAAACTATTAACCCAACTGTACTACTGTGAGAAAACAGGCATTCCCCTGATGGTCATTATTGGTGAGGAAGAACAGAAGGCAGGGGTCATAAAGCTCCGTTTAGTGGCCACCAGAGAGGAGGTGAGTGAGGGCTGGCAGCAATAGAAGGGATCAAGAGTTTCTCCTTTTCTCAGATTTTTAAAGAAATATGTGTTTTGGCTGAGGAAATATCTTCAGGGCTAATAGTGGTAGAGATGAATGAAGTCCCATCTCCAGCTACCATTGCAGGCAGCATGTATTGGCTAAGTGGACAGGAGGAAGACAAATGAAATCTGCATGGGTGTTTTGAGACTAGTCAATAAAAAAGACATAGATTAAATGTTTGACTCCCCTTAGTCTTTAAGGGTATACATTCTCACAGTCACCTTATTTCCTAATAGTTGTATAAATGGTGGGATACATGCAGAGTGAAATGCATCTGGAAAAAAATGGCTAAAGAGCTAATATCACTTTCTTTGTCACCTGAGAGCTCTTATTTTTCAGCAGGCCGTTAAACGGGAACATCTTGTGGCTGAAATTCAGAAGCGACTGTCTGTCTTGAGCCTTGCCTGATTGCCATCTGGTGCTCTTATACAGAAGTTTTCACTAGCATTGAGTTCCTGAAGAACTTCACAACAGCTGGCCAGCAGGGGTGACAAATGCTTTCAGCCTCCTCTCTTCTTGAATACACAAGGATGTGGGGACTCCCAGACTAGTGTAAACAGCTACTCTGCATGGGGGCAGATGGCTTATGTGAAAGACATGGTATATCAGAAGAGGCAGGGCTGGGGTTAGCTCAGTGGTTCTTCCACCTGCCTTGCAAGCGCAAGGACCTGAGCTCCATCCCCCGTACCAAAAAAAAAAAAAAAAAGCATGTTTGAAGTGCCACTGAATGCCACATAGCTCAGTGTCTTCCCCCTGCCTTGCAAGCGCAAGGATCTGGGCTCCATCCCCCGTACCAAAAAAAAAAAAAAAAAGCATGTTTGAAGTGCCACTGAATGCCACCTAGAGGTGCTAAAATTTTTGCTGTGAGCAAGGCTCTGTAAAAGACCACTCCGGGTTGAAGATATTGAACCACTGAGATCAGAAGCCAAATAATTATCTTTCCACTTATCTTTGGAACCGGATTCTGGGAAATTTGTCCACATCCAGCCTTTGGCTTGTCCAAGGACTTAAATACAGCAAAGATGGACAGTGACAAATTAGAGGACATAAATACCATATGATCCTTGGGGCTCAGCAGTGCCTATATCAATCTGGTATCTTATTAGCCCATCGCCTGTTAAAATAGCATGATGGGACTGCTGTTTAATGATCTGGAATATTGAATTTAATGGATGATTTGGCACAATGGAGAGCTGATCTGAGATTCTGAAGACTGTTTCCTATTCTAGAATCACTGTCCTGACTTTCCATAACTTGCCATTAAGGCTGTTTGAGAAGTGGTTGGATAATGTTAAATAAAATGTTAAGTATTGTATTTTGGGTAATTTGTTATCGGGATTAATTTGCATAGACCATAGAAAATGCTTGAGTGCACACTGGAGAATTTGGTGAGCTAGGAGTAACCTCCCTGGGGTGATGCTTATGTATTCAGCAAGGAAGCAGCCACAGTTCTTCTCTCCACCCTCTGCACAGCTTGGCGATACAGTCATTAAAAATAAACATAGTGAGCCACTTGCCAGAGTGCTTCACTCTAGGACAGGGGCTCTGAACCTGTAGGCCGTGGAGCCTTAGTGGTGTCTCTGGCTTATTGGGAACTGGGTTGCACAGCAGGAGGTGAGCAGCTGGTGAGTCAGTGGAACTGCCCCCCATTGCATGAATTACTGCCTGTTTTACCTCCTGTCAGATCAGCAGCAACATTAGATTTTCACACCAGCTTGGACTCTGCTGTGAACTACATGGGTGAAAGATCTAGGTTGTGTTCTCCTAATGAGAATTGCATCTTCATTCCTCTCTCCAACCCGCTTCACGTGTCTGTAGAAAAGTGTCTTCTAAGAAACCATGAAACTGGTCCCAGATACAAAAAAAAAGTTGGGGACTGCTGCTCAAGGGTGTTGCTGATGACCTGCCTTCCAATGATCAATCATGTTGATTACATTGTGTACTATAGACTGAATGATGGTAGTGTTCTCCAGCTGAAGGAAAAATGAGTTAACCAAGGGTAGCACTGTCAAAAGAAGAAGAAGAAAAAAAGCAAATCCAATGCATAAAGCCCTTTTCTTTTGTTCCTTGAGGAAGGTGCAGCAGTGTGGCTTTGGGCAATATCCCTAGTGCACATTGGTCAACAGGGTATCTACAACCACTAATAACACGAGTCTTTAAAGAATTTTAGGAAGGAGGGTTGCAAGTTTGAGGACAGCGTGGGTAATTTATTAAGACCGTGTCTCAAAAAATAGAAGAGGCAGGGGCTGGGGGTTTAGCTCAGGCTGAGAAGTGCTTGCCCAGCAAGAATGAGGCCCTGGGTTCAACCCCCAGTACCACCAAAAAAATAAAGGCTGTGGTATAATATCCCTAATTCAATCCCCAGTTCGCAAGTACCTAAAAAAAAAAAAACAGTTTAGAAACGCAACTCTTGAGGATGCACGCACATTTGATTAGCTTACGTCTGAGTGCAATGCTTCTGAGTCTCGGTTTTTCGCCGTAAGATAGAAAAGGAACTTAACCAGCCTTCCGTGCTTGTTTTGTATGCCAGGGCCAAAACAAACGCGTTTGCACGCGCCCTTACTTCCGCGTTGCTTCACATGTCTGTCGCGCTTGCGCCTTCTCCTTGGAGCAGAGGCGGGACCGACTCGCCAGTTTCAGAAGCCCTCCAGTCCTTATCTTGTTTAGAACAGGACACTCTGAATTTATTGGAGGGTGACTTTGCCTTACGGCTCTTGGACACTTTTTACGACATTTTCCGGCTTCCCATTCACTTCGCTGTGAAGATGGCGTCGGGCAGCGGGGTAGGTGATGTGTGTGAGAGGAGGTATGCAGGGTGGTGGGGCGGGTGCCTTCTCAGCGCTGAATAGACAGACGCTGGCACCTAACTGGCTTTCCGACACTTCTTCAAACCCAGGGTCCGGGTTTGAGAATTCTCCCATAAGCCCCTGACTCAGGGACCGTGGAATCGCGGAGGTTCGAGGGTTGGGGTCTTGAGGCGATCTCAGCTTCCCTCCTGGTGAGGTCCAGAAAGGCTTCGTTTTCGGAAAGCTCCGGGGGTCGTCTTGTTGGCAAGGACGCGGCTTCTTCAGTTTCTCTAGGGGTCTGGACGCGATTAGTGACGGATCTTCAGCGCTTTTTTCCCTACAGACAAAAAACTTGGACTTTCGCCGAAAGTGGGACAAAGATGAGTACGAGAAGCTTGCTGAGAAGAGGCTCACAGAAGAGAGAGAAAAGAAGGATGGTGGGTGCCCGCTTTATCAAGGGCCAAGGGTATCATAGAAACGGTGCAGTCAGTGGCTGGAGAGCGGGTGGGGAGTTAAGATGAAGATGTTCTACCCTGTTTCTTTTGGCGGTGTTGTCTCCCTGGTCCTCGGTTTCCACGTACATAAAATGAAAGTAAGGAGGTGGGCTGCAGTAGTTTTGAGGTGCTTTTCAGCCTTGGTATCCTCTGCTTTCTTGCTCTCTCTTTCCTTGATTCATTTGCTTGCTTTCCTGAAGTACAGAGGGCTCTGAAATTCTTAGTGGTGACAAAAAAGTTAAGTGGAATACTTTGCTGCTGAAGATTACTGCTATGGATGACACTCTCTTTTCTTTGAAAATTTTTTAAGGAGTAGGAGAACATTCTTGGCCCAATCAGGATCCTTCTTTATAGTCTGAGAAAGGCACTGTTACTTCACAGGAACAAATGATTGTTTCATTTAGGCTTAGTGGTACCACTTCTCTCTGCCTCCTAGTGTCAAGGAACTGTGTTCCTCTCCTAGGTAGTTCCTTTTTACAAAAAGAAACATCTTAAAACTGGTTTTTAAACATTCTTCTTCCACACCACTTGCACACATTTCAGTTTTTTTGTGTAAGATGTGTAATATAGTGTAGGTATGCCTGTTGAGTGAATGAGTATTTCCTAAATGTTGGCTTTTTATTTTTATTTCTTTATTTTTGGTACCGGGGATCGAACTCGGGTCCTTGTGCTTGCGAGGCAGGCGGCGGAACCACTGAGCTAAATCCCTGGCCCAAGCTCCTTTTAAAATTTGTCTCCGTTCCCTCAAAATCCTTATTTGTGTTATGCTTAGGGTATCTGTCTGAAAGCATTTTGAAAAGGTTGCTGCTAGTGAAAATTTAGAACTTCACTTCCACCTCAGTCAGTGAATTAATAACAGAGAAAACATTACTTTTAGATTTGCTAGCTTTATTTGTGTTGTTTTGTTTTGTTTTGTTTTTGAGACAGAGTCTCACCATATTCCCTGAGCTGGCCTTGAACTTGTGATCCTGCCTCAGCTCCCAGGGACTTGGGGTTATAGGCCTGTACACCATGCCTGGCTAGACTTGTTAGTTTTGGTTTTTTTTTTTTTCTGGTTCCAGGGATGAAACTCAGGACCTTGTGCTTGTCAGGCAGGCACAGCACCACTGAGCCACATCTGTGGCTTGTAGACTAGCTAGTTTTAAAGTGGACAAAAGCTCAAGAAAGTTGGGGATTGTTTCTCATTTTTTCTGTGCTCATAATTCTTCCTTGATGTTGCAAACTGCTACTTGAAGTGCATGTTGTGTCCCATCTTTCAGGAATCAAATGAGAGTAGTCCTCTGAATTTTGAGTTTCATGTATTTTTTTTTTTGGTTGAGGAACTCTAAAGGGTCAGTCTTTCCTAACATGTTTCAGGAAAACCAGTGCAGCCAGTCAAGCGTGAGCTTCTGCGGCACAGGGACTACAAAGTGGACTTGGAATCCAAGCTTGGGAAGACAATTGTCATCACCAAGACTACCCCACAATCTGAGATGGGAGGGTGAGTAACTTTTTGTTTTTCTTTGAAGCCCAGAGTGGGTTTAGTAAACTACCTATGTTGGTTTTAGAAAGTGTTGAGGAGGGTCCATGGTCCCAGGATAACAGCCTGGTTTACCCAAGTTCTTAACAGTAGTGTCCCCAAAAGAAGTTATTTTGTGATCTTCTTCATATTGGAATTATAAATACTCCTTAATATCTTAACAGGGATTATTTATTCTGTCACAAGAAATGAACGAACTACTAAAGACTTTCCTAGAGGAATTAGATGGTGTGAAAATGGGGCTAAGAAACTGTTAATGATCGAAAAACGGGTGTTGAGGTTCTAGAATAACTCTGAAGGCTGTAACTATTATGGAAGGTACCTGGTTGTGCACGTTTTTCCTAGACCAAGGCTGAAACCTTCAGGAAGGTTTCTACAAAAATTTGCCACCCTTTTGCCCATCCCTCCTCCTCTATCCAGTTAGGGTTTCTAGCAGGAGGACAACACAGATAGCAGTTAGCTAACACTTTCTCTGAGCTGTTCATAAACCTATCGTCATTTTCCTCAATGTTATTTATCCTTTATTATATAAATTAATAAATTAACTCATCTTGGCAGCATAAAATAACAAATAGCTTGTAGTTTCTTTGGGCAGGAGATGTGAGAGAAGGTGGTTCTGGTTCATGGTCTCTCATGAAGCTTTGTTCAAGGAGTTGGCTGGGTGTGCACTTATCTGAGGCTTAAATGAGGTTGGAAGATCTACTGCCACATGTGTATGGTTTGGAGGCTAAAGTTCTGTATCCTGTGGACTTCTTCATGTGGTTGTTCATAACAAATCAACTGGCTTCCTCAGATCAAATAATCTACACAAAATTGGGAGCCACAGTTTATAACCTAGTCTTGGAAGTGCTATGCCATTACTTTTAACATAGCTTCCTGGGCTCACAGACCAACCCTGGTACAGACTGCAAAGAACTTACACAGAAAAGCAGAGCTCATTGTGGGTCTATCTTGGAGGATGGTTACTATCTTTTCCCAAGAGTGAAGTCTGTGTGGAAATGAAGCCTTTACTTAAAAAGGTATTTTTTGAAAACCAGATTCTTCTCTTTTTTTGGTGGGGGGGCTTGGGCTTGTAAGGCAGGCAGCAGAACCACTTAGCTAAATCCATGGCCAAAAACCAGATTCTTAAAACTGGATTTGATTTATCTGCTCTTTCTTATCATCTGTCAGATATTACTGCAATGTCTGTGACTGTGTGGTGAAGGACTCCATCAACTTCCTGGATCACATTAATGGAAAGAAACGTAAGGCTTAGAGGTAGTTTGTGAGTGGGGCTGGAGTTGGGTTTTGAAGGTGATGTAGAGGGAAAAGGTGGTTTTCCTTGGACTCTTTTTATGCCTGGGAAATTCTCCAGTCATGTCACACAGGCCATTCTTTACTTCATTAGATAGATAATATTTCTGGAGGTCACAAAGTGGGATACTGCTCTGGGGTTCACTCTGTGCCCCTCCCCCCCACCCCTTTGTGGTGCTAGTGAATGTTCTTGATTCTCAACAACTCGAACAACTCTGGTCTTTTGGGCCTAGGTAGCCCCATTTGGTGTTCATCTGCTCAGTAAGGGATGCTACCTCTGGGAACAGATGAAATCATGAGTTTCTCTTAGTCATACTTACTTTTGGTGCGTATTTTATTAAAAATTTGGCCAGGCATGATGGTAATTCCAGCACTCTGGAGGCTGAGGCAGAAGGGTCCTTATGTATTTGAGGCCAGCCTGAACTACACATAGTGAAACCTGTCTCAAAAAAAAAAGAATAATTTTTTTGTGTGTGTGGTACTGGGGATGGAATCCAGGGTTTCATTTACACCAGTCAAGTGCTATACCCCTAACCTTGAAAAGATGTTTAAAATAAAGCCATGACTTTTTTTGGGAAGGGGGCCAGTCTTATCTAATTCATGCTGGCCTTGGACTCACTATGTAGTCCAGGCTGTCTTTGAATTTGTGTAGCCTCCTGCCGTAGCCTTTTGAGTCTTGGAGTTATAGGTGTGCACCACCACACCTGGCCCAGGACAAGACTTGAGGAGCTGAGGATGTTGTAATGATGTTGCCATCTTTACCGTCGACCCCGCCCAGATCAGCGAAACCTTGGCATGTCTATGCGAGTGGAACGTTCCACCTTGGATCAGGTGAAGAAACGTTTTGAGGTGAACAAGAAAAAGATGGAGGAGAAGCAGAAGGATTATGATTTTGAGGAAAGGATGAAGGAACTCAGAGAAGAGGTAAGACTGTCCTAGCTCCATTTTTCTCAGCTTTGAATTGTAACTTGTGACTCACAAGTGGCCCTCATCTTCATCCCACTGCACTGCCTCCCAGTTTTGTCCCTGAATTTCTGTATGCTAGGGGAAGCCTTTTTTGCCTTGTTTGTGATGCTCATGAGCTAAAGGAAATGTCTACAAGCCTACCTTCTTCTCCTGGACTTTTTTTGGGTTATACCTGTTTTGCATAATTATCCTTTCATACTTTTTAGAGCAGTTTTACATTCACAGCAAAATTGAGAAGAAAGAATGGAGACTTCTGTTTACTCCTACTTCCGACACATGTATACTTTCCTCTCCTCCACTCCTCTTCCCTCCTCTTCTTTCCCTCTCTCCCTCCCTCCCTCTCCCACTCTCCCCCACTTCTTTCTTTTTTTTCTATAGAAGGGAGTTAAGTCCCCAAGAGGCTGACAGGATCACTGTTGACATAACCTCACTTTTTCATATTAAGAGATCTCAGTATAATGTACGTAAAGTACTCAACAGATCTTAGTATGTTGAATGCCCCAAAATATGATTCCCATGACCTAGTTAGGAATTAAAGAGACGAACTAAGGTGTAGGATTGAGAACTCTACAGATCCCAAAATTTCTTTCTTATTCTGTAAAACCTTTACTATGGCTTTTGTTCTGCCCTTGAGATTTTGTTTTACTTTCTCCTAAAGATAGAAAGGAATGTTGAAGCTCACACATCTCTTTTGACAACGTTTGGCTCAGCAGTTTGAACTGATTCTGGGTGATTTCCACCCCTGCAGGAGGAGAAGGCTAAAGCATACAAGAAAGAGAAACAGAAGGAAAAGAAGAGGAGGGCTGAGGAAGACTTGACATTTGAGGAGGATGATGAGATGGCAGCTGTGATGGGCTTCTCTGGCTTTGGTTCCACCAAAAAGAGTTACTGAGGCTTCTTGTACTTGGCCTAATTTTGGCCTGTACTGGACCTAACATTTTGTGTGCGTCGGGGAGGAGACGTTCATTTCTAAGTAATTCGGAAAGACCTTAAGCGTGTCAATGGTCAGGGAGGAGTGGGTGCTTTGGTTTCCCTCTGTGTTGGGAGACAGTATAGGACACAGAGGTTATGCTGTGGCGTATTCACTCAGTCTCAGAATAGCACTGGAGTCACATGACCTCTGCCTGAGTTCCCAATAAAGACAGACCTCCCTTTCTAAGGCTGCTTTCCCGAAACACCCCCTGCATCTTTTCCTCTTCATCTACCCAACCTCTTGTTTGAACATCCTGTCTTTTATTCTGTTTTCTGTTTTAATTTTGACTCCCATTCAGCCTGCAACAGAAGGGTTGTCTAGTTGATGGCATATCCTTGATCAGTCCTTTTCCCATTGCACCTTCATGAGTCTCTGGCCACCTGTGCATGCATGGTACTAATGCCTGGATCAGTGGTGTGTGTGGATATGTATGTGTGCATGAATCTGTCACAAAGAGGAGGCCTGAGCTAGAATCTCAGAGCACTGATTCCTTGGGGCCTGATGTTCTTGGTTTCCTCAGCGCATGTAACAGGAAATTAAATGGGATGAGTGTGGTGTGGTTTGTGCCTGGTGAATTTTTTAACATTGTTCTTCAAATGTAGGCTGTTTCAGCTTCTTGTTTCATTTTACTGAGGATTTCTGTTTTTGTCTTCCTTGTGAGCAGGCTCTTGGAAGAACCTGTTTGAAGCAAAAAAGAAAATGAAAAAACAAACAACACATGCAAACAAACTATGGGCGCCACCGGGTTTCTTGGGCTGTTCAACGTGTACAATAAATGGCATTGACTGGCCTGATTCACATTTGGTGGGACTCTTCCATATTCTTGATTGTGTGTGTGTGTTTTGTCCCCACACTGAGGATTACCATATAGAACTTTTTCTTCTCTCCATTTGACCCTGGTCACTTTTTAGGATAGATTCTTTCAGCACTCTTCACACAAAACTAGTCTTATAATTCGAACCTGATTTGAACTTGAACGGCAGGGCCCGCCCAGGGTTGAAATTAGTCTTTTTCCTGTTATTTACAATTGGATTAGGCACCTGGTTGCTCAGTCTTGGCACTTTAATACCTTGGGCCAGATAAATCTTCGTTGAAGCTGCTGTTCTGTGCGTTGTAGGATGTTTAGCCACATCCTAGCCTCTAGTTATCAAATTCCTGTAGCCATACCTCTTGCATTTTGTAACAACTAAAAATATCCCTTGGGTGTGGGCAAATTCTCTCAGCCTCCATTCAAACCACTGAGAAGCTGCTGGCTTGCCTACCATGGATATGAGAATTACACGGCATACATTGGTTAAAACAAAACTCCCAAAACTTTGGTAGCTCCTGGATCAGATACTGTACCAGGTCTAGGGAATGCAGAGGGAAAAAACAGTTATACACAAAAATTGAATAATTACAAACTTGAAACATCTGAAACTCTTGCTTGTTCTATACCTGGAAAAAAAACTATTTGGTTTAGCAAGCCTGCTGTTCTTCATCTTGTTTTTCTTTGTCCCGTGTAGCTCTTCACACACCTTTCTGAAGCATCTGGAACCCTGGAATTTTACGAAGCACTGTTCTCTTTCCTTTGTAATTTGTATAAACTTGCTGTTAGGTGTGCCTTTTGCCTAACCCAGAGATTCTGAATCTAACCGCTAGGTACACTGTGGCTGTGAAGACCAGACTCAAAATATTAAGTATGTGTGTTTGTCAATTAGAGTTCAGATAGTGGGTACTGTCTTTGGTAGGACTGTGTGCCCACCAGGTCCTTGAGTGAAAATACTCTTGTAGATGGGGTCGTTACATTTTTTTCTTTTCTAAAGGCAGTCAGGAGAAAGTTTGAATAAGTGGAGTGCCTTCGGTGGTTGAGTATTCCTTTTTAGGAAATTTTTCAACTCCCTCTAGTACAGTGGGGATTTACCTCATCTATACCAGCAATACAAAAAGCAAATGTGACTTCAGGTATTCTAAATCTTGGGTAATTTGAATCTTGAAGGAAACTGTCTAGTTCATAGATGTTTGAAGGGGCTTAAAGTGGTTTAAAAAAAGGGAAGGCAGGGCTGGGGATTTAGCTCGGTGGTTCTGCTGCCTGTCTCACAAGTGCAGAGATGTGAGTTTTATCCCCAGTACCAAAAAAACAAGGGAAGTTGGGTGTGGTGGTGCATGCCTTTAATTCCAGCACTTGGGGGGCTGAAGCAGGAGGATTGCTGTGAGTTCAAGACCAGCCTGGGCTACGTAGTGAGTTCCAGGTCAATCTCAGCTATATAGTGAGACCCTGTCTCAAAAATTAAAAAAAAAAAAGGGGGGGGGTGTGTGCGAAGGCAGAAGATGGGATGGAACCCAGAGCATTATTCAGAGGTCTTTTAAAACGGAACTTGATGTTTGAGCTCTCTATAAGATCCTTGGAAATTTTGCATTCTGGTTGAATGGACCTTTGATTAGCCTCCAAGTGTTCAGTCATTCAGCAACTGCTTAGGAGGTGATCATGTAATACGCACTGGTAATATCTTCCTGGGTGAGGTGCCAAGGTCCCAGAGGTCATGAAATTCATATTCTGCTGGAGTTGCTATTTATAGTACTGAATATAGGTAAGAGGCTGTGCCTCATGGAGCACACTTGCAATCCCAGCACTTTGGAGGCTGAGGCAGTAGGATCACCTTGAATTTCACGACAGCAGAGCTACATAGGGAGTTCATGTTAGCCTGAACTATACAGCGAGGCCCTTTCTCAAACTAAAAACAAAACAGAAGAAAAAAGCCCTCCAGGAAAAAAAGACTGGGCTTTAGGTGAAACTGGGTTCAGGAAACTAGGGTTTCTAGCATTTCTCCCATTTACCTATTCCTCCATTTAAATGTGCAGGTTCTTTAGATTCCTAAACCTCTATCTAAAAAATATTAGTGTGCAGAGTGTACATGAAACCCTGGGCTTGATCCCCAGCACTAGAAAAGCACCTGTTTTTTTTTTAATTAAGTTTATTGGTACTTTTTAGGTATACAATACAGTTAACATTCATCATTGGGATCTTGTACCTTTACATGATATATCTTGCTTATTTTTCCCTGTTCTCCTGCCCTATTTACAGACTTTGTTTCCATTTAGAAAAGCACCCATTCTTGAACAAATAACATACCTGTAGATGGAAGTTTGGTGCAGCTTTACAATGGTGAAACATTCAAAACTAGTACATTTTTACTGGAATCTGGGACAGCCATTACAATGTATGTGGACAAGGAGTGTATGTACTGATAAGAAAGCTCTGTAGCACACACTCTTAGCAAACAAAAGTAGCAGGCCTGCAATATTGGCCCTCTAAAAGACTCAAGTTTGAGCCCAGCCAGGGCTATTTATTTATATATGTATGTGTGTAAATTTGATGTTTTGAGACAGGGTCTCCCTGTGTAGCCAGGCTGGCCTGGAAGTGGTGGCGATCCTGGTGTGGGAACCCTCATCTCCACCCATTGAAATGCACTGTGGATGGAGCCGAGGGCCCAGGCTTTGGGTGCCTTCTGCAGTACCTCGAAAACGAAGCACAGAAACCCTAAACCAAAGCCCTCCAGAAACGGATGTTTGAGGAAAAATTATATATCTCTAGTGTGTGGAGCTACATCTGGAGAGTGAGGAAAAGGACTGCAAGGCTACACACACAATGTCTACAGTGACTAACTGGAGTCAGCCAAGAGTGCTGGGAAAAGCTGTTTACAGTGTACGTGACAGGAATAGGTGTGAAGACTCCGATGTTCTGGCACTGCCTTGTAACCCAGGCTATTTGGGAGGTGAGGCAGGAGAACTAAGTTCTCAGAAAAAAAAAATTTTTTTAAAGCAAACAAACAAATAAATGGATGGGACGGGAGTCGGAGCTCAGTATTAGAGAACTCTTGGATTCAATCCCCAGTACAGCAAGAAAAAAACCCAACAGGCAATAAAGTTAAAAGTTTGTAACATCTGGGATCGGGGAGATGGGGTTTGTTTGGTTCAAGCAGCAAAGATCCAAGATAGGCCTGAAATAGTTCGCATGTTGTGAGACATCCACTTGCCAGAGAGTGGAATGAGGCGCTGAGTGTAGAAGCCGATTCCCACAGAGTGAGCCCGTGTGGTGGTGGTGGGCGTATTGGAGGTGGGAACAAAACATGTGGCTCCGGAGGGGGACCTCTGCTTGGAAGGAGAGAGCAGAGGATGAGCCTAGAGCTCCCTCACCGGGTGGGTAAGGGAGGAGCGCGTCCTAGCTGCCTTGCCTCCGAGTTTCTGGAGTGGAAGCGGATTGGACAGGGTGGAAGGCGGAGTCACTCTGGAAACCCGTACTCGTTCCTTGTGACGCACGTCCTTTTCCTTAGTCAAGAGAACATAATCAGACCCGAATTTCCGGGCTGGCTTCTAGCTCAGCGGTTCCTTCGACAGCATGTTATTACCCAACTGGTCTGGTGCCTTCCACCAGCCGGATGGATCGAGACCCGCGGGCGCTCTCCAGTCCTTTTGATGCCGCCGCCATGCCTACATTTTTTTCCCTCCCAAGAAAGCAGCCTTGGAAGAGTTTGAAAGCCCTCTTCTGCCCATGGACATCTTGCCGTGAAAAACAAAAAAAACGATAATAGGATCCCTTGATGTTTGTTGCTTGAGGTCTAGGAATTTTTTTTCTTTCAAATGGAATTTATTTTTCTCATATATTTCAAATGGTGATTATTCCACTTCAGATTTCCTAGGTCAACAGAACACTTTTCCATTTGTAGACTACTTTTTTGTTTGTTTGTTTTTGTGTTTATTTTTAGAGACAGGGTCTCTCTCTCTCTCTCTCTCTCTCTCTCTCTCATCTCTCTCTCTCTCCCTTTGGAGACAGGGTCTTACTATGTAGTTGAGACTGACCTGGAACTCACCATGTAGCCCAGGCTGGTCTCGAACTCACAGGGATCCTGCTGCCTCAGCCTCCCAAGTGCTGGGATTACAGGCCTGTGAGACAGGGATTCTCTATAAATTCAGGCTGGCCTTGAACTCACTGTGTAGCCTGGGCTGGTTTTGAATTTGTGATCCTTTTGCCTCAGCCTCCAGAATACTGGAATTACAGGAGTGTGCCAGCAGTCCCAGCTCAGATTTACATTTTGTTATCTTTGAAAGCTACATCTCTTTCATTATTTTCGTTTTTACAAACTGTAATACCTGTTGGATTTTCTTTGTTGCTTTATCTACCACTTTATGTCTGACCTTTCTTAGGTATAAAAAATACATACATACATATACATATATGTGATTTTTTTTTTTTTTTAGGTGCTGTCTCACTGTTTCCTATGCTGGTCTCAAATTTGTGATCTTCCTGAATAGCTGAGATCACAGGTATGTGCCGCCATGCCTGGTTCAGTTATATTTTGACTAAAATATTTCAGGGAAAGTAAAAAGAGTGAACCTGTTTTATGTATATGTACCAACTCCTCATAGTGAGTTTAATCATTATGTACTAATAAACATAAAAACAATTTATTTTTAGACATCTTATAAATTTATGTTCCACTTTTTCCCCCAATATCTTATTTTTTCTTCAGGATTTCCTGATTTTGACCGATTGTTTTCTGATTCTTTTTGTTCTTTGTCAATTTGTGAAGGTATTTTTTTCTGATTCATAGTACTTTTTCATGTCACCAAGTTACTGCTGAAGGTCGTTTAAAATTATGCTGTGGTGTTATGTTTCAGATTTCATGATTAGTTAACAATATTGATTTCCATTTAAAATTTTCTTTACATCATTTAATGTCTTGCATTTTATGTACATTTTCAAATTTTTAATTTCTATTTTTAACTATTGCCGGCGAGGCAGTTTGGGTTTGCTAGGTTTCTTGGTTGGAGAGTGCCCTCTCGTGTTGACAGAACAGAATGCAGCACCATAGAAGGCCTGTTTTGTGGCGTGGATGAAAGTCCAGGTTGTCCTCTGGTTTTGTGATTTTCGTCTCATTTCTGTGAGACTATTCATTTTCTCTGAGTGCTTCTTTCTTGTCACCATCAGGCCCTCAAGGTGTACATCCCCTTCCCATCACCTGTAGCAGTGATGCCTTCTCAGGATTGCCACGTGTTGCCTCAAGCACGTACAAGCCCTTCTCTTTGACTGCTCAGTGCCTTCCATCCACCAGGTTTCTGACCTACTCTCATTATTTCTTCATCTCAAATAGGACCGGAATTTGTGGTGATGGTTTTACCTGTCTTCCACCACTGCTAGGCCCCTGCTACTTTCTAGTCTTTGCTATGTTTCCGGTTTCTGTTCTATAGCATGGCTATGTAACTGTGTTGGCTGCTTTGGGAGGTGTACTGACCTGTGTATATCAAAATGAGGTTTATAACCTTCTCTGGCTCCAAGTTGTGCTGTAGACATAGGTGGTTTTATTTACTTTTCTTACTTTTTTTTTGATACCACGGATCGAACTTGGGACCTTGTGCTTATGAGAACCACTGAGCTAATTCCCTCGGCCTACTTTTCTTTCATCTTTAGAATGTAGGAGATTCAAATTCCAGTTGGCGAAGTTATTCTGTGGACGTTGGGAGGCTGGCTCATCTGTTTCCATTTTTTTTTAATTTTGAAGAAAAACTTTTTTCATTATGATATGCCACATAAAATTTAACATCTTAATCATTTTTAAGTGTCGAGTTCCATTTTGAAGTGGGAGGCTCATTGTTATGCAACCATCACCATCATTCACTTCTAGAAGTCTTTTCATCCTGTAAAAGTCAAACTTTATGCCTGTGAAATAATACCTTCCCCTCTCCCTTCTATCTCCCGCCCCTGGAAACTACCATTACACTTTCTGTCCTTGAAAATTTGACTGCCCTCTGTATTTCACAGAAGTTGAGTCATAGGATGTCTATGTTTTAGTGACTGTGTGTGTGTGTGTGTGTGTGTGTGTGTGTGACTGGCTTATTTCTCTGAGCCTGATGTCCTCATGGTTCATTCACGTTGTAGTTATGTCAAAACTTCATGACTTTTAAAAAGTTAAAGAACATCTTCTTGTCTGTGGCGACTATATTTTATGTAACCATTTGTCTGTGAATGGACATTTGGGTTATTTTCCTTGTGAATAATACTGCTGTGAAGATGGGATGTCCATGTGTTTGAGTTTGTGCTTTCGGTCATTTTGGGTTTATACTTAGAAGTGGAATTCCTGGGTGATATGGTAATTGTATATTTAATCAAGTCTTCTCATATTGCTTCCCATGGTGGCTATATAATTTCATATTTCTCCAGTGCAGTGGTGATATAATTTCATATTTCTCCACATTGCGAACACTTGTTATTCCCAATGTGCCTTTTGTTTTTATTATTTATTTATTTATTTTGTTGTATTGAGTATTGACTCCAAGGCCTTGGCTCTGAGCTACATCACCAGCCCTGTTAAATTTTTTGGAGATGAGGATTCAAGCACTTATCTTTGAAAACCTTCATGGCTGGTGTGAGGGAGACAAGGGAGAGGAGGGTTATTGTGTAGGATGTTTTTCCCCATCACTAATGGAATCAGTGCTATTTCTTGGTACAATGGAAAATTTTCTTTCTTTGCAACTCTGAGAAGGAACCTATCCAAGAATACTTGTTTTTGCCTCCTTATGAAGATTTTGTGGAAATGTGGCATTGCATTGCATGAAATTTTTGTCATTGCTCCTACTCCTACAGCCTTATTGGAGGTTGTGCTTCTCTATGTGATTTTTTCACTGTCACATTTTACATATCTTCCTAATCTGACTTGAAATGATGGATTTCTATGCCTTTTAGTTCTCATCCTCTGGAGACAAGATCTCCTTTATAACCCTGCTGTTGGGCAATGATCACACACAATCCTATACAGAGGAGGAGGAGGCAGGAAGGGAGGGAAGGAGGGCAAGGAAAGAGAGAGAAAAAGAAGAAAAGGGATAAGGAGAAGAAGGAAAGGAGGAAGAGAAGGAAGAGAAAGATGATGAAAAGAAAGAGGAAGATGACAGGAGGGGAGTGAGAGAAATCCCTTGGTTCAGTTGTGACCATGTGATGTTCTGCATCACATACTACTCATATTGCAAGACAATGCTCAGTTTCTAAGAAATATTTATTACAAATGGTTCCTTTTTTGTTTGTTTGTTTTTTTGAGAGAGGGTCTCACTATGTAGTTGAGACTGACCTGGAACTCAATATGTAGCCCAGGTTGGTCTCGAACACACAGTGATCCCCCTGCCTCAGCCTCCTGAGTGCTGGGATTACAGGCGTACCCCACCACACCCGGCAATGGTTGCTTTTTTTGAAGAACAGACACAGAAAAAGTTACTTGCAATCAGGTTTTACTGTACTTGTAATAGTATGTACGCAATGGAAATCATTACTTTCCCATAATTCACGACTGAACTCACCATTGCTTTTGAGTTTTCTTTATGGATAATATTTCTTCACTGATTCAGTTTCTCTTTTTTCAACTTTTATTTTTATTAGGCAGTGTTTGCACACAAAATGATTACATTCCTCAGTGAAAGTTGGTGCACATACCTACCGCAACTTAGTTCTATTTTCATCCCCTTATTTATCAAACCATTCTTCCTCTCTCAATCTCTTGCTTCCTTTGCAGTTTGAAATAGATTTATCTTCCTATTTCTTATTATTTTTACTTTGTTATTTATATTTTAGGCTTCTCGAATGAGAGAAATAGTATGATACAAAAGCTTGTGTGTAGAATTTCTTTCACACGATGTTACACTTGCCTTTTCTTTGAAACAAGCTCTTGCAGGTAGTAAAGTCCAGCATTGAAATCTCTGTGAAACTCAGGATGGCATAGAACTCAGAGTGATCCTGGTGGGAACCCTCATCTCCACCCATTGAAATGCACTGTGGATGGAGCCGAGGGCCCAGGCCTTGGGTGCCATCTGCAGTACCTCGAAAACAAAGCACAGAAACCCTAAGCCAAAGCCCTGCAAAAACAGATGTTCAAGGAAAAGTTATATAACTCTAATATCTGGAGCTACATCTGAGAGTGAGGAATAGGACTGGAAGGCTACACACACAATGTCAATAGTGGCTAACTGGACAATCAGGAGTGCCGGCAAAAAGGTATTTACAGTGCACATGACACGAGTCGGTGAGAAGACTCCAGCATCCTGGCACTGCCTTGTAATCCCGGCAAATTGGTAGGCTGAGGCCAGTGGCCTGCAAGTTTCACAGCCTGAGCAATGGATCATGACTCTGTCTCAGAAAAAATAAAAAAAGAAAAAAACTTGAAAAAAAGACAAAGAAAGAAATAAATGAAAGGGACCAAGGGAAGGAGCTCAGTGTTAGGGCACCCCTGGAGTCAAATCCCCAGACAGCAAGAAACAACAACAACAAAGAAAACAAACAGGAAATAAAACTAGAAGCTTGTAACATCTGGGATCGGGGAGATGGGGTTGGTTTGGTTCAAGCAGCAAAGATCCAAGATAGGCCTGAAATAGTTTGCATGTTGTGAGACATCCACTTGCCAGAGAGTGGAATGAGGCGCTGAGTGTAGAAGCCGATTCCCACAGAGTGAGCCCGTGTGGTGGTTGGGGGAGCTCAGAGGCTCGCGTGGTGGTGGTGTGCGTATTGGAGGTGAAAGCAAAACATGTGCCTCCAGAGGGGCACTTCTGCTTGGAAGGAGAGAGCAGAGGATGAGCCAGGTCCCTTCCGGGCGAAAACCTCACAAGATGTGTGTGTGTGTGTGTGTGTGTGTGTGTGTGTGTGTGTGTGTGTGTGTGTAAGAGGGAGAGGAGAGAGAAAGAAATAAAGTGAGTGAGTGTTGGCTGCTCTGATCTCTGCAGGTGTCTGGAGTGCAAGTGGATTGGATAGTGTCAGACCCAGGTATGTCCGGGGCAAAGTTGACTCATTGTGACGCAGGCTCTTCTTCCTAGTCAGGACAACGGAGACAGAGTCCCGTTTCCCCGCTGGTCTCTAGCCCAAAGGTTGGTTCCACCAGCAGGATGGATCCAGACCCCGGGGCGCTCTCTAGTCCCTTTGCTGCTGCCGCTTTGGCTACTTCTGTTTTCCTGGAATCAACCTTGGAGGAGAGATGTGAGAGCCCTTCACTGCCCCGAGCTCTAGGAAGGACCAGTTTCCCACAAAAGTTAAGTTCCTCCTCTGCATGAAAGGAACCAGGGCTTCTTGCAGAAAACACAGGGTCAGGCAGCGGGGTAAGAAACAAATGGACGCACAGATGCGGAGCCAGAAACCAAGGCATTGCTTCCGGCCTGTACCCCACAAAACAACAAGCAGACTCTTGACTTGGGAATAACTGTGTCTGTTTGGTTTAGGGCCAAGCCAACCAGACCACGACTGGGATCCCAGCACCAGGCAGCAGGCTGAGGCCTGGGGATCATCCTGAGTTTCAAGCCAGCCTAGGCCACATGGTGAGTTCATGTCAGCCTGAACTACATAGCAGGGCCCTTTAGCAAAAATCAAAGTGAAAGGAAACAAACAAATAAAGTAGAAACAACAAAAAGAAAGAAGGAAACACATCTTTCAGGAAGAAAAGATCCGGCTTTTGGTAAATCGGTGGCTTCAGGTAACTTTAGGGCTTCTAGCATTTCCCCTGCATATGTACCCCTTCCCCTATTTCAAGTTGCAGATTCTTGCTATTCCCAAACCTGTATCTAAAAATACATACTGTGTACAGAGTGTGCATGAAATCCAGGGCTTGATCCCTAGCACTAGAAAAACACCCGTTCCCGAGCAAGTTATATACCTGTAGGAGATTTAGTGCAGCTTTCCGATAGCGAAACATTCAAAACTAGTACATTTTTACTGGAATCTGGGACAGCCATTATGATGTATGTAGAGGAGGTGTGTATGTACTGACAAGAAAGCTATGAAACGCATCCTCCTAGTAAACAAAAGTAGCAGGCCTGTAATCCTGGCCTTCTAGAAGACCCAGGCAGGAGGATGAGAATTTTGAGCCTGGCTAGGGCTATTGATGTATGTATGTACACATGTGTGCTTGCATGTGTGTATGCGTGTAAATTTGATGTTTTGAGACAGGGTCTCCCTGTGTAGACAGGCTGGCCTGGAAGTGGTGGTGATCCTGGTGTGGGAACCCTCATCTCCACCCATTGAAATACACTGTGGATGGAGCCGAGGGCCCAGGCTTTGGGCACCCTCTGTGGTACCTCAAAAACGAAGCACAGAAACCCTAAACCAAAGCCCTCCAGAAACGGATGCTTGAGGAAAAATTATACATCTCTAGTGTGTGGAGCTACATCTGGAGAGTGAGGAAAAGGACTGAAAGGCTACACACACAAAATGTTGGTAGTGGCTAGCTGGAGTCAATGAGGATTGTTGGGACAAAGCTATTTATAGTATGTGTGACAGGAATGGGAGTTAATAGCCCAGCGTTCTGACCCTTGCCTTTTTCAAATGGAATCTACAACGCCGCAGTGTAGGGATGATGACAAAGTTTCCAGATCTTTCAGGAATGAAGTTATGGATCACCCCACCAGGAAAATACCATACCTGCTGTGGGGCATTTTGATCCTCAAAGGAATTCTGAATTTGTAGTCAAGGAACTCTGTTCCAAATTCCGGCTATGATCCCTTTATTGGTATTAGAAATCTAGAGTTTTATTTTAATAATTCTCTCTTAGTGTGTTACCTATGTAATATAATGTGGATAGGCTTAATATGGGTTCTTTAGTATTTTTCAAGATACATTATAATATTCGGTCTATGAAATGTTAGGAGTAAGCATCATCCAAAGAAAACTTGTCTTCTATTTTGGGGAGGGAATTAGTGCATTTTTGTTTGTATGCAGGACAGTTGTAACATATTAGGCACAATTATAATCTTGTCTTTGTATCAGGAGAGCAAGTATAATTTAAAGAAATATGTTTGGTTGTCAGTTGAGAAGGGATGGATTGTAATAGTTAACTGGTTTTGTCAACTTGAGTAAGAACTGTTCAACTAAGTTGGATCAGTCTTGATTGTGACTGAAGGATTTTACTGAAGACAGAAGACTTTCTCTAGGTGTGTGTGGCACAAACCAGTGTACTTGGCAGTTGAAGGAAAAGGGGGACAAAACAGTAAAGCTCACTTTGTTTCTTCAGAGAAGCTCCAGTCTTCACCTTCACCTTGGACATCATCTCCTGGCTTCCAGTGAGACTTCCAGCATAGACTGACTCTTCAGCACCAACTCTTCAGCTGTCCAGCGCAGACCCTTCAGCCTTCCATTGAAAACCCTTCGATCTCCTGATATGGGCTGACATGGGACACTACAATTAGCTCCTGGCATTTGACTGGATCCTTTGAATCTCCAGTGAGTAAACAATCCTATTCTAAAGGGAGAAATAGATGGATAGAAAGGAGTGGACCTGAAACAGTACTGAAATCCAGCGAGGGAAACATTAAACACTATAGTTCCATGTCCAGCACTCTGGGCCAATTGTGGTGAGATGTGAACTCCAAATGACTTGGGTGGCCCTACCAGTGGTTATAGCTCTTGTGGCTTCTGTCTTGGGCCAGCTTTGCTCACTTTTTGTGGCTGTAGCCTAGGCTGGTCTCGAACTCACAGTGATCCTCTTGTCTCAGCCTCCTGAGTGCTGGGATTACAGGCGTGCGCCACCGCACCTGGCTAACTTTTTCCTTCTTTAATTTGTGGGTGTTGGGTATTTTGTCCCAGCACTGAAAGAGTCACTAAATCATCTGACCAGAATCTCCCATCAAGCTTGGCTCACAGTATTCTAGGCCTGTTTTTCCAGCCAGCATCTCTATCTTGGTTACTTTCTCATTGTTGGGGCAAAAAGCCAGATACATAAAGTCAAAGGAGGAAAGATTTACTTAGCTCACAGTTTGTAGTGGTTTCAATCCATAAGTCAGCTGGGTCGAAGGCAGCGAGGCATAGCAGAGGAGCATCTGAGGAGAAAGTCCATGGGAAGTCAGGCAGAAAGCAGCAAGCAGCCAACAGCCTGCCTTTCATTTTTCCTTTTTATTCCATCCAGGCTACAAGCCTTTTGAGTGGTGCCACCCACACCAAAAAGGTGGGGCTTCTTTCTTCAGTAAATCCATTCAACTACAAGCAGAACTATGCTAATTCCAATCAGTGGACTAATTTAGTACCATACACCCTTAATCCAAGTATCACCCTCCCTAGATCCGGCCAGCTCCAAAAAGCCCTACCTATGAATACATGAGGCTTTGGAAGAAGTACATCTAGGTAGAAGCTATAATAATCTCCAAACCTTTCCAAATTCCTTCCATAATCCAGTTCGAAAGGCTTCTGAACTACATGGTCAGGTAGCGTCACAGCAATGACTCCACTAACAAAATCTGTCTTAGTTGCTTTATTGTCACTGAGACATAATACTCAACACACACAAATTAAAGGAGGGGAGTTTTATTTTGTCTCATAGTTTGTAGAGGTTTAAATCTTTAAATCCATAGTTTGCTGGCTGCAAGGAGGGCAGCACAGTAGAGGGACATAACAGCAGGAAGAGTTGTGGGGGGGGAGAGGAAGGACAGTGGAAGATGCACCCTTCCAGGCCACACCCCCAGTGGTCCACCTCCTTCAAACAGGCATCAGCTTCCAAATCACATTTAGCTATAAAGTCATCAGTGGACCACTCCACTGATGAGTGTCACACCACTATCATCCAATTACCTCCCACAGGCTCCACATATGAGAGCATGAGGATTTAAGGGGACATCTAGATATAATCCATAACAATTGGCAATATAATCTTATGGGACCACTATCACATACATGATCTTTCATTGACCAAAATGTCACTATGGAGCACAAAAGTTTTAAATTCAAGGACTATTGTAGTCTATTTTATGTTATTATAATGAATTTCCTGGAGCTGTGAAGCTTATAAAGAGGTTTATTTATGTCACAGTTATGCAGTTATAAGGGGGTGACAATGTCATCAGCTCAGTTTCAGTGAGGAATTTATTGCATATTTTATTGCAGATGGTATCATGATAGCAGGAGCATGTGCAGGATAAATAGATCACATGGCAAGATAGGAAGCCAGTGTGAGGAGAGAAGCCAGGTTTTCTGTTTTCCCTCTTGCAAGAACTATCTCTGGGTCCCATAATAACTACTTTAATCCCTATCAAGATTAGAGTTCACAGATATCCCACTAGAATCCACTTCTTAAAGGTCCCAAGACATCTAGGCTACATTAAGGACAAAGCCTCCAGTTAGCTGTGGTTCAAGTGGGGCTAGGAATGTTTCTTATATCTACTTCAAAGGGAGCAAGCAACAAACCTTGGCATTACCCATTTGATGCTAATTTTGCAGGTATTCTGATCTCCTGCTTGGTGCTATGATGCAAGGTTAAAAGAAAAACTTAAGGACAGGATTAAAGAGACAGAAAAATGGGAAGCCAGGATGGCCAATGCTTGTGCAAAGGTCCGGAACACTCAGAGCTGTCAATATTTATTGATGACATCATAGATAGATTGAGGTAAAGGTTCTATGTAAAGGGACTATGTGTAGTTGCTATGGACACATTGCTGATGTAGGCAAGGCTTGTAAAGGAAGGGATAAAGCATCTTGAATTAGGAACAGACAGACAAAATATAGGTTGTGGTTAACACCATATTAATGCCAAACTTAGTACAGACACCCAGTTGGCATAGCGCACCACAGCCTAGAACTTCTGGATTCAAGTGATTGATCCTCCCACCTCAGCCTTCTGAGTACCTGGGACTACAGGCACATGCCGCCATGCCTGGCAGGAACAGTAGATTGAATTTTCCCTTTTTTTTTCTTTCTGTTCTCACATTGTTACATTTTTAAATTTAACTGGCTGTCAATAGAAAAATAACCTTGAGTTAGGTTCATATCTTAAATCAACAAACAAAATAGAAAGCAAGTTAACCCTATAATTACAATTTAAGGATTTCCGATGTTTAAGAATTGCTTTAAGCATATCAATTCAACATCAACTCAAATTGGAACAAATGGATATTTATCAATTAGCTAAAATTTGTAATTTTATTTCTCTTGTAAAATCTATTTGTGTCTCTTAGAGTGTGGTTTCAGTTTCTCTGGCTTTGTTTTGGATTCCAGACATTTGCAGGCAGCATCAGGCCAGTGGCATAGCACTGGCCTTGGGGCTCTTAAATCCAGAAGTGTTTTTCTCACTTTTTCTTTGTGCTCTCCTGGGCTTTCCTAACTGTTTTCATTCTGTTTACTTATTTTCTCATTTCAGTTCTTTCCAACCTGGGTGTGGGTTTTGTTTGACTTTTCCTGAGTTGGACCATGGTGCCCCATTCCTACATCCTGGTGCACTACAGCCAAGCAGCTCTCCTCATGTCCTTTTTCCCATCTCTTCTGCAAACACCTTGTAGTCTTAGCAACTCAGGTGGAGAGGGAGGCAGCTCAACCTCCTCCAAAGGAGGAGCACTGGAGTTTTTCTGTAATGATGTCACATTTTCTGAGAGAGGCAAGCCTGCCATATGAGAGACAACAGATTTGGCAAACAGTTGTTCTAGAACTGAAACTACACAGTTCTTGCCACCATCTGATTGCCACAGAGTGGAACCTGAGTGGGTCCCAGGCTTGATTGTACAGACCACAAAATAGATTGCACAAGGCTCCAGATTGTCAAAGTCTCATGGGAGATAACTTTTCTTCTTTTTGAGCTGTCCAGAGGTTATTTCTGACATGTTCCCAAAGTTCCATCTAAGTTCCTTGTTTGTGAGAACCAATGATTATATTTAACTGTCTCTTGCAGCATTTTTTTTGATACTGCAGGCTGGCAAAATGTAGCTTGTTTGTTTAAGAAGGATTCAGAGCAAATAGAGGTAATGTTGCTCTTCAGCTGAAAATGATTACCCTGTTTTTAATCCCAGCTGATTTCTTATGTCAGAAGTACTTATCCATTTCATGTGAGGGCCAAACATCATTGAAACACTACATCCTCTCTGGGTGGCATTCACCAAGCAGACAATCCCCCATGGGTTCACACTGGGCATCAGTTATCAGAGACCCCTGCAGTGAAACTAATCTGCTCAGTGCTATGATGCATGGTGAGAAGAAAGACATAGAAACAGTTAAAGAGACAGATACAGGGGACCCAGGATGACCAGTACTTATACAAGCAAGGCTGAACAAGCAAAGCCCCTGAACACCCAGAGCTATTGATGTTTATTGGTGACATCATAGTTAGATTGAGGTAAAGGGGCTAGGTGGAGGGACTATATGGAGTTGCTGATGCAGGCAAAGTTTGTAAAGGAAGAGACAAAGCATTCTTTTTTTAAAAAGCATTTTTGAATTAGTAACAGAACAGACAAAATATAGATTGTGATTAATAATTAACTTTACTGTTTAGTAAAGGTTTTAACTCTGGGAATGGAATTTCGGGAAGAGTAATGTTGATCTCAGCATGTAGGCTGCAGCTGGACTCACTTCTATAAGCAAGCCAATTAAAGGTTAATTCTTTATAGTCTACACTGCTTTCAGCCTGCTTTTGGTTAATTAATAGGGTGGTCTACCACAAACTAGCCCAGGTGACATAATTGTGCTAAGTTTTTGTTCCTTTTGATATACTAAGGGTCTTAAAAAATCTATACACCAGTGCCAAAGAACTGGTGGCTGGGCCAAGTTGACCAAAACTTCTCATCTCCAATAAATATAAGAGGTAGGATCATGTGACAGACTCAAACCCCAAACCAGTTACACCTGGAAGACTAAAACTTATGAAAAGTAGTCATTTCCTAAGTGCTGAATACGGCAGTAAAGCTACTCATCATAAGGAATTTATAAGGTTCAACCCAAGGATCAAACTTAAAAAAAAGAAAATGAGAAGACACTTAAACAAGATGCAACCTCCCCCCAGACTTTTAGCTTACCAAAGGCAAACCTCAGGGACAATAAGGTGGAACAATCTGAAAGGCGCCCACCTGAACTCTGAAGTAGTAACAGCAGAAATCACAAAGCAGGCTGGGGATTTAGCTCAGTGGTGCTGCTGCCTGCCTCACAAGTGGAAAGTCCCTGGTACAGAAAAAAGAAGGAGGAGGAGGAGAAAGAAGAAAAAGAAGAAGGAGAAACAAAGCAGATCAATGAGGCTCTAGAAAAAAATCAAAGCAGGAATAATTCCCCAGGTGATGACCAGAATGAAAGACATGCTTAGTGACTCTAGAGCAGATACAGATTTAAAAACAAACAAACAAACAAAAAATAGAGGAGCTCAGGAACACAAGGGAAACCATGAACACCCAGGGTAGGAAAGAACTGGAAACCAGGAATGCCAGCATAGGAAAAAATTGGAATCTATGAAATAGATTCTAGCAGATATCCAG